CAGAGAGACAGAAAGAAAGAAACTAGGGGGGGGCGACAGTGGGGAGAGGGCTGGGGGTCGGGAAGGTTGTGCGGGACAGTTGGAGGGTGGTGTGCGCGGGGGGGGGGGGGGGTTTCATGCTTGTGTTTGGGGTCGTTTTCAGAGACATTCGTTGTTACAAAACTGATCGTAATTCTCAAGTTGATAGAGTCTTGATACTAAGGATCCAATAGATCAGATTTGAGAATTTTTTTCTGAAAGATATTGTATCTAATTGAAGTAAAGTATGGTGAAGTTTTGTTCAGTTGAACTTTAATGTTAACCAGTAATAAAGCAAGACACTGCATTGCTGTTCAAGAGCTATTTTCTTGTTGCAGCTGTTGCATTAATACTCTTTATGTTTTTTTTTCTTGTTTGCATTCATTTGTGTTTCATTGATGGAACAAAGTTTTAAATGTAGTTTTCAGTTTCTTTTTTTTTCTGCTTTGGCATTTGTGAAGCAAAATTTATTCGATGATCCAGTATTTAAATTTGAAACCAAGCCATTCTGACTTCTCTCTTGGGATTATTTGTGGTCGACAATGGGGATCACTTGCGGTACTGTAAACCACTCGCTCTGGACATTGACCCTGTTTCTATTGGCCGATTTTATCGAGCAAAAGAAAAGTCAGGTTCTGTAATGTGCATCGATATATAAATTTAACCAAGTCCACAAGAGAAGCTTCTTTTAAATTTTTAACATAAAATTTCACTTGAACCTGTGTACTGTTGTATGTATTTGAACGACTTACGGGATTCTTGAGTTTTGAATAGTAAGCTGGAAGGACTCGATCTCTGCAAAGAAATAAATTTTACCACATGGTTAACATTCTAATTTAACACTTAACCTATGCGTTGATGTATGTACCAAATGTAGTTTGTCTTTATTGGACCAACATAGCTGAAAGAGTTCTGACTTAATTCATGCCCTGAATTTACTTCAGTACTTTGTTTGTTTAACTCCATTTTAGCCAAGTTTACTGTTTTATTATATATCATGTACAGGTTAAATTTGATATCAGATTAAAACTTGTTAACCTAGATTAATTCTCAATTTCCTTCGTGTCTTAGGGCTAGGGGACAAAGGAAGTTACGAATCAACCTTAGTTGGTAAAATCAAAATTAACCTGAAATCAGATTTAATCTGTAACATATACATCTTTTTCTTCCTTATCATGTAAATCACCCCAAAGTAGGAAGACTAGTAGTAGTTGTTAGAAGTAGTAAAATGTTACGAGCCATTGACATCAATCAGCTTAGTCTCACCATATTTATTGCATTGCCATATGTAGCTACGAGCACTTTTAAAGAAACTTTTGCGATGCCGTAGACACATGGGCACGTATTCCTAGTTTGACACATGGGCACGTATTCCTAGTTAAATTTAATTAAGACGTTACTTTTGCAAACGAAAACGAAAACCTTAAGTTTTTGTTACTTGCACATCACACACCTTAGAAACGTCTTTAATAGCCTCAATCCAAGGCTTGAGGGGTTTTGAGTCCATCCTTTGACAAGGCGTACAACAAAGAGCTACTTTTCCGACCAAAGGTATGTAATGACCACAGTCATGGTGCCTACAACAACTTTCCTCATGCCTCGCGCAGGGCTTTGTCTCTCTTCCTATGCAGACTGTGCATCGAGCACACAACTCCACAGACATTGATTCCAGCCAATGACACTCCCTCTGAAGCTTTTCAAACAAGATATCTAACCACCTATAAATTGATTTAAAGAAAAGTATTGGCAAAAAATGCAGGAGAAGAACTTGTGCCACACAGTAGGAAAATCTACAGGTACTTATAATCTGTTATAATCAGGGGTAGTTGACCTGCTTTCAACGTTAATATTCCAATAAGAAAATTTGATTTCCATATTCAGCAGCACCGATCATTTCATAAAAGTGTGATCCTCTGGACAGGAGGTTTAAACGGCTTTTTTTCAATCTTTTACAAACGATAAACCGTTCAGAAACTGACATTCAGCCAAACTATGCAAACTGTTTCGAACTGCGGGTTTATCCGGAAAGTCAAAAACAAACACCTTGGACAAATAAATCCATTGCAAAGTTTTAAGATTGATTAGCATCTCTTACTTTTTCAGCAGGAACGAATTACCTTCGTTTAAGCCATTGTTGTTAGTAATGAGCCAGGTAAACTAAACTGGGTCAAAGTTAACAGCATAAACTGCACACTTTCTAACCACCCTGAAAAAGGGGTGGGTGGGGCACAACCCCCTCTTCCCGCGGTTCCTGTAGCTGTTTTGCTTGCGTACCAAGCCAAAATATAGCCTGCATAACAAGCGTTTATGAGCCAAACGAGAAGAACGTGGCATTTTGCGCGAAGCGCGAGACACAAAATGCCTCGCTCGCCTCGCTTGGCTCATAAAGCGCTTGTTATGAAGGCTAGCCAAAAGAGGGATATGTATCTAACAAAGAATTGACAGCAAGAAAAAATATACAGTCGACCCTGTACTAACAGCCACGTCTCTACAACGGCCACTTTTTTTGGCGGACAGTCCATACACTGACTCTTGTTTAAACCTCTCTACAAGGGCCACTTTTTTCTGCCTCCAAGGTGGCCGTTGTGGAGAGGTTCAACTGTATACAGGTTTTGTAAATGTGTAGAAAGCAAGAGTAACTTGAATTCGAGTTTTTACCTTAAAACATTAACATAATCCTCTTTGGGCGGATTGCCTTCAGCTTTTCCAAACCCCAGCTTAATAACACTCTTGTAGCGCACCATTTGAAACGGATGGCTGCTATTCTTGTCAAGGATAAATTCAGCTTTATTTGATGTCAGCTCGTACATATTTGTGTACTGCGGATTTTTCACAAACAGCACAATAAGTCGGGAGAATAGTCCATTTGGAACATACTCAGTTTGAAACCTGAGGTAGATAGGTACAGTTGATCCAGTTTCATTTTCCTCTTCTTCATTAGTAGTAGTCCGCAGCATACAAGGGACTAAGAACTGCGATTCTCCTGTTTTTTGACGGCAGATGAGGTTGAACTTATCCATTAAAGAAATCAAATGGTCCTTAATGGGACTCAGACTTTCATTGCGGCAGGTATGATCAATCAACTTTTCGGAAAGAATTCCTTTTTCTTCCAATTCCGTACGATCTGCTTCTACGTCCATTGGTTCTTTCTCCTGTGGATTTACGTTGATAATCTTGCAGAATATTTTGATTAACCACTGGGGATCCAAAATAACCAGACCATCATACTCATGTTCATGGTACACTATTGTCCCACGGCTATGCAAAAAATGCACAAGTTCTTCAAAGTCATCATCCTCATTTTCAAAAGCGCAATAGGGAGAAACAATATCTTCACGAAAAGATTCCTTAAAAAGGAACTTGCGTCTTTGCCATTTCGGTTGACTAATTTCCTTCTCAACACGATGCCATTGTAAAGGGATCGGCTTCTTCGTGTGAGGCATTTCATCAGCTACCTTAAGAATCGCCTCTCGAAACTTCTCGATTTCCTCCTGGTTGAATAATTTGCCAGCGTTTGTGTTGTCGATCGATAAACGATCTCTGATGTGTGGTAAATAACTGTGTTTACAAAACACACGTAAACACGTCTGTTTGACTAATTTCATTGCTTCACTTGGATTGTCTACACAGTCAGCATGAGTACCGACAAGTATGACTGGGGGATACGAAACCTTCTCTTTCTCTTTCTGATTACCCTTCTTTAAAGAGTGAATCAAGTCCATCCACCTTAATAAGTGATCCAAATTTGTGTCTTCATCATCGCGGGCTGTTACAGCATGCTCTCTGTGACCCACATTCACTCGACATACTGCTTTTTCACTAAGTTTCTTTGTAAGATCAAACACGAGAAGATAAAGGTCCTCTGGCGACATAAAGATTGGGTGAATGGCACGATAAATGTCCTGTCCTGCAAAGTCCCAAATGACTGGCCAAATTTTTTCTTCAGGGTCAAGTTCGGTTCTCGCTAGATTTTCCGCTAAAAGTAAAGCAACGTGATCTGGTATTACTTCCTCTCCCCGCGGAAAGTGATCTGTAAGAAAGAAAGCAGAAATCCTGAGGTGATTCATTGGTAAAAGAACATGACACGGATTTTCGATAAAGTTTTCGGTAAATTGTTGTAAAAAGTCAAGAAGATGATAAAAACGTAACAAAAAGTGGAGGTCACAGCTCTCATTTTAACGGTGTAATGCTGACAAGTAAGGCTATTTAGGCACCATTGACTGAATAAAGTATCATCTAGTTTTTGGAAACAGGTCTTGTCCTGGTTGCGCGATTATAACATTTCTGTTGATAACCTTAAAGAGGAAGATGCCATTTTTGGTAAGTCCGATATTGCAGAAGATTTTCTCCTGTTTAACCATATCTTGCTTTTGGGTAAGTTTTATATTTACTCTCGGAAATGCCAGAATGGTTTTATAGCTAGGACAAGACGTATTATTTTACAATATCGAACTCCATATTGCTAGGAAAACAGACAAATTAAATAACCATTCTAAAAAGTGGGAAAAGTAAATAAGCGTTTTTCCGAATAAGTGATGTCATGATTAATTTCATCATTAGTTTAAAGTGAAGTCATTGTAATTTACATACTAAGTAACTATTGCTGTAATAGCTTTGTGTGTGTTTAGCTTTGTATTCTTCTATTTGTACTATATAAGAGTGTGTGTGTGTCTCTCCTCTCCTTTTTTTCTTCTTAATTTCTATTTTGTATGTAAACGTAAGAAATGCTTTAATAACAGAAAAAAAAAAAAAACATGGACTCACTGAATAACAGCGCGCAACCCTTAACAACTCTGTCGGTAGGGCGAGATCTCGGATGTTCCTACTGAAATGCAGCATGAAGACGAGTCCTTCCGCCGCATAATCAAATGAAGCTGTGAATCGGCATCCTTTTTATAGCATGTTGTACCTCCAAACATGTTTAGTGTATTTTTTTTTATCAGAGTCGAATTTTGTTACATTTCCCAGGTCGGACCGTTATGTTTTCCACATTTCACATTTCTCATTCCCCAGCTATAGTCCGTATTGCACAAGTCACGAAGGGAAATGAAGGTGTTAACCTAGAAAAGTTGGCGATAGTTTCAACTTACGAGTCTGTCTTGAAGCTTCTTCTTCTTGGTCGACAGGAGGGTTTTCTTCATTAGTTGTTGATGGAAGAGGCTCTTCTGTGCGGAAATAGAAATAAAAAAGGGAATATAAGAGTCAAGTCCATTCTTCGAATTTTTAATACCATTCAATGCCAACACAACATCAGGCTCTATTTTCGTTTCGCTTGGAAAGTGATAAAATTGGGTCTGATCTTAGGTATTTATTGTCAGAAGCTCTTCTCTTCAAGTGTTGAGACANTGTCTTCAGCAGTGGCAGGGACACGGACGAAACGGGACAGACTCGGGCCCCCACACGTCAGGTGCGACTTATACCGTACAACAGGCCTAACACGACAACTTGCAGATGCATCCACAACACTTCACAGAATACTACCAAGTAAAAGGAGAAGTGAAGTCCGGGAGGGGAGGGGGCAGGGGGGGGGGGGCGGGGGGGCTAATGAATCCGTTAAGATTCGCTCACAAAAGCACTGATCGTAACGATCGCTAGAAAAGCAAGGCTGTACGTAGTTTGCCCCTGCGAACTCCAAAGGGCGCCCCCACAGATCATGTGCAAACTGGGCGAGACCGCTGGCAGCATTAGCTCGAGATTAACCTTGCCTAAATTACATTTAGCCACATTAAAATCCAGGATAGTCGGTATTTTGGGTGCCGTTTAAGCTTGCTGTGTGAGAGGCCAGTTTATCAAAAATTCCGATAATTTTACGAACACGAACACATTAAATAGCAACTTTTAACCCATAAGACTCTTTTGTTTCGTCTACGTAAATAACCGAAAGTTTTCAGGTTTTACAGAAACTACAGTTTCCAGTCTATCAGCAATAGTTATTAAAGAATGACCGAATGTTTATTGCACTAACCATGTTCAATAGATAACTGAACTGCTTGGTTTGAAGGCCCTTCTTTTGGTTTCTCAGAAGGTTTCTCAGGTTCACTTTTATTCGAGGTTTCTGTTGGTTGTTTCGTCTCTGGCTGCTCCGAGTGTGTGCTTAATAAATTCTTAGCGGTCTCTGCAGCAACGTTATGATCAAATACTGTCGTGTGTTCAAGAGAAGCAGGATTTCTCCACGCGCCTGTTCCAGCATTCTTGACAGCAGGGATCATTTGCACACCATCAGTACTGAGTTCGGCTTCATCAAAAGGTTCACCTCTTAGAGCTTTACCGAGGCTCGTTTTCCCCACACGGTCTTGCCCAACGAGTAAAACCTTGACACGTTTATCATATGTGCTACCACCAGTCTCAATTGCCCTGCGGTAAGCAGCAAGTGCTTTGTCTCCTCTAGCTAGCACAAAGGCTGGAATCAAATCTAAAAGTATTAAAAGAATCGGTTTGACAAATTAGAGATGACATCAGGTTTCATACTGATGTTAAGTAAGCTAGTCTCTAGACACATTCACGTATCATTCTTGCAGCAGTTAGAAAGATTACTGCACAGTGATTGTTTCGTTAGAGACTTACTTAGAAGTATATAAAATTCAAGATATATGCCACGATCCAGGACCATAGGCAGACTTTCAATGCAGAAAATTGCAAAATCTAGAGGTTTGAAACACCACATTGTATTTTTGACGTTTTTAGAATGTACAATCTTTTTTAAATCCAGACGATGCGCGGCTTTCGTCGTTTTGCCTCATGCCAGCTACGACCCTACCACCCCTGGTAAAGACAACGTACCTGTCACTACTTTTTAACTGCATGAGGCAGTGTATGTAGCAAGGGGTATACCTTACCTTCGTTACTGTTGTCCTTTATTGTCTTCTTTTTCAGTTTTTCTTTAGGAGAAAAAAAAAATTTCATGATGTTGTTGAAACCGAGGCGGAAGCATAAAAAACACATTTGGGTCTAAGGACTATGATTGAACGAGCTAAACACCCCGGGGAGGGTACTTCCTTATAAGAGGCTAATGGGGATGTGCCGCTGGATGGGGTCGCATTTTCCAATCGGAGTGACTATAATGGGGTCTCTTTTTCAATAGAGTTACTAGAATGGGGTTGCACATTTTCTGAGTTGTGGGGTAAGATAGTTCTTCATATTAGCAGTCATCAAACGTACCAGAATGTTTGTACTGTTGGTGAAAAGTAGAGTGTTCTTCATTCAACATGAGGTTAATACATAAATAGAAAGTGACTAAGTTGGGATCGCAAAAATTACATATTTGCCCACAAGTGACTGAGATCGGGTCGGGTAGGGGCTCTGAGAAGCCAGCGCACATACCCAGCAAAAATTAACCCAAGTAGCGCCCCCGGGCAAAACACAAACCTATTCTACCGAGTTATCGATGGGTTTCCCTTCAGAACGTGGAATATTACACTAAATATTAATATGAATGTAAAGGAAAATCTTTTCCCACAGAAAATCAAAATTAACGTTTTTCTGCACAAGATTAGAAAAAACCTCAATATTTGGTCTTACAAGTCAGAGCTGTGTTACGGAATTTAGCCACCGGGAACTTGCCACCAAGCTGAGCAAGAAATAAACTATGAAATACCGCTCAAAACAATGAAGGGAGGCTTAAATCACAGCACAGAAATACAAGCGAAGGTACGGATGGGTAAAACAGAAGAAATCAAAAGGGATTGCAAGTGGGTTTTTAAAGGCTTGACAGCCTAACAGTGATGTGTCAACAGTTTTTCAAAGTTTATCGATGTTGTTTGCTATTTTTAATATAGCACTTTTAGGAGACGCATTAATTGTTGGTAACGAAGGTGAATTTCACCATTTACAAGAAATTTGAAAAAATTCATTGAAAGGGAACTACTGTGGGAACTGCAACCAAATTGAATGATGTCGTATAAGTATAACCTTTCAAAACGTTAAAAGAAGGTATACATCACACAGCAAATACAACTGGAGGCATGGATGGACAAATTTTAAGAAGATTGAAACGGATTGCGATTGGGGTTTTTGAAAACTTGTTAGCCTAACAAGTTCCAAAGTTTTTTTGTTGTTTGTAAGGTTTGTTATAATGCTTGGGAGTCATATTTGCTTGACATGAAGCTCTGATCTTCAGTGCTATTCACAAGTAATTTCTCAACTTCCACAGCGAATAATGAAGTGTGACTGACGTTATCAAGAAAATGAACTAGTATGTATTTGCAATTACCTATAAATTGGAACACTGCAACTGAAGTTTCCTTCTCCGCTACCATCTCCAGATGACTCAAAATCTTACGTGCGGCTTCTTCAGACAGCTCGCAGGCAAATTCTAACACTTCTCCCATCCAAAACATCGTTTCAATTGATTCTACTTTTACTAAGGAGTTTACCTTCTCAGCCAGTAGCTGTTCTTTTAGAAAATATGCCGCGATATATGCTTGTAGGGAATTGTGAATGAAGAAAACACCTTTTTCAGGATTCAAACTTGCAATATTTAACACCTGGAAAAGACCGACTTCGATCAGCCTCTCGGTCAAACTGTAGCCAACAGGTAACTGACTAACAGGGAAATAAAGCTGGCCTTGCAAAAGGGCTTCAAAGGCCAAGCGTCCTAATGCGTATAATTCATCTGAGTAATCTTTGGCAGAAACCGATTCAGCGGACTTTTTTTCACACATGTGATCAAACATGGTCGTCATGAACTGGGCGAAGATGTCTGCGCGTTCCTTTGGTAGTTCTTCACGTGTTGTTTTCGTCCAGAGCAAGCACAACATTAAGAGCAGTAGGGGAATTTGTGCTAGTTCACTTAGGTTGTGCTGCCATAAGTACCTAAAAAACTCTTGAATATCTTTATCATCTTTCAAAAATCTACGAGCGAACTCTTCTTGACGCTCATCATTGAAGCCTTCAATTTTGAATAAAGTATCACTAAAACTTATCAACATCTCAGCTTTCATTTCCCTCGAAGTAATTACAACACAACAATCTCTTAACTGGCTTTTTTTCCAGATTTTGAAAACAGGCGACTCGTTTTTTGAACTGTAAACATATTCATCGTAGCCGTCCAAGATAAGCAAGACTTTTTCTTGATGGCGACAAACGTAATCATACAGGCTGTGAACGGAAATTGCACCATTACTATCCAGCACTTCAGAAGCCCTCAGAATGGACGGAACATCTTGGAAATTACTAACGTCTCGTAATTTCACCAGAAGGACAAGATCAAATGTTCCTAATGTTTCTGTATATCTCTGCTGGGACCAGTCAAAAGTTGTTTTCTTCGTAAAAACAGTCTTGCCAATTCCTACGTAACAAGAGTGAAAAAACTGTCAGCTGAAGTGAAACCTTAAAATAGTAGAACTTATATTAGTTTTGAAAGACTTTTAGGGGAATTTTAAATTTATTTTACTGAAGTTTTGCTGAATTTTCTAAAAAATTCAGTGAAATAAATTTAAAATTCCCCTAAAAAGCTTCTGAACTTGAATTTTTACGTGCGTAATCACAAAAATATTTAATAAATAAATTATAATTATTTGAACAATTACGTTTTCCCAAGTTTGATTGATGGAGATAAAGGATCTCCATAATAATTATAATTCCTTTTTATGGAGATATAATTTGGAGAACGATTATATTATAGCTGTTTGAGCAGCTTCTCATGGATCTCTCTCGACCTCAGTCTCTCTTTGGAATTCTTAGCTTTGTTTACAGACTGGTCTCTTTATCATTCTCAGTTGTATAGGTTATTTAACAATCTGCTGCGTAGATTCTTTTAGATTATTGGATGTTGGAAAAGTACAGCCAAAAAGCCTGCAAATCACCAGCTGATCGTACGACGCCCTGTATGGATGCCGCATTTAGCTGGTAAACGAGGATGGATATTCTTTGTTTATTCTTTCTTGTATTTGTGTACTTGAGGCCACAAGTTTGTTAGCTTTGGCAGCTATCATTTGCTTATCGATGCATGCCTCCAATTCAATAAAGACCATGTTCGTCAGTCATGTCAGTTACTTACCTGGCTGTCCATAAACCAAAATTCGCTTTGGTGCAGGATTAGGTTCTCTCCGGACAAAAATCTCAGTGTAGTGGTCAAGTTGCTGTTCTGTCACTCCTGTGGGTTTCCTGTGATCCATGAACCATGACAAGTCTGTGTAGATGTCGTCAATATCAACAGCAGAGTTCGGGTCCCATGGAATGATTTGGACTTTGCTACTGGTTTCATAAAGTGATCGCAGCTGTTTCTGGCACTCCTCAAGACTTACGGAGTCTACTTTAAAGAATTTTAAACTCTTAAAAATATCAGTGTACTTTAAGACAGGGACATATTGAAAAAACGGCAACTTCTTGATACTAAAAGTAGGTACAAAAATATACATTAGAAGTGAATCTTATATCCATTTTTGTGGGTTCGATAGAAAAAATACAGAAAAGATGTTGCACTTCCGGGTTTCAAACATACATTTTACGCACGCAAGCTTTGGGATCTGACAGTCTTTATTTACATCAAAACACTTAGCGCAAGTAAATACACCTGAGACAACTAATTAAGGGCCTGTTTACATGGAGGTGGGGGACCCCAGGCAGGTGTGGTACCACACCTACATAGTGTCCCCCACCTCCCTGTAAACAGGCCCTAAAGCAAATACTTAAAGCTGCAGTCAAATCATATAAAAGAATACAAACAAGAGAAAGACAAGAAGACTGTCCGTGGGAGTGGCATGATGGGAAAATTTGTATGTGGAGTATGCTTATAATCTCGTTTCCGTATCTGCTTGCTTATGCTGTAAACTGCGAGTATACCCGCGGGGTTATGCTATCAGAACTAAATTTACAAAACCTTATCGCTATCTGATTGGTTATTTAAAATCTTGTGAGTATCAGCTATATTGTAGTATTTTCACACCCCTAGTTTATTTTACCTATGGCTAGTTAAAGCCCGCCAGACCCCATGTACGCTGCTTTCGCGGATGGTGTAGATTTATATTAATACAAGTACCGATATCCCCTTTTAGGAATTTTTAACACACGCTGGAAATTTCTTCATTGCAACTCCATTTAACCAGGGGCACCCAACGACGGTTTCCTCCTAAATACATTGAAAAAACGTTTTAGGCTACCCAGAGTACTTTTGGACATCTAGAAATGCATTCTAAGCGGCGCTATAAAATTTGTATCTGTTCGATTATCCTAGGGGAAGTATGGTGTGTTAAAACCTGTTGTTACTTCGTACTGTTACAGAACCAGTGGTTTCAGTTTAAATCCAGTATGGTTCCTGTATATCTACTGACTGAAAAGTACCTGGTAAGCTTCTAGATGAGGGTTCCATGACTGTCAAGTCTAAAAAAAGAACAAAAGCGATAAGACAGTTTTGATGGTCAATCTTTTCACTTAATGCGATAGCACACAGCCAGCTAGGCCTGTATTATTCCCTCGCTAGTGGACAATTGCTGATATTAATTCACTTGATTAAAGTGTTTGATTTTCTCAATCTTACAAGCACCAGGTCTACCACCAACTACCGACCCCTCCTCCCTCTCGGCGGCACTTATCACCCATCCCCATCGAACGAACTCCCCTAATTTGGAATTACTTCTAGTATTATATGAGTGCAGTAATGAAAAGCCACTTATCAGTCAAAACAGAGATGTGACATACCTTGATAGTGAGGCCATTCTTTAAAAACAACTGGATCATGTAACATTGTGGACACAAGAGAAGCTGCCATGACGGAAGCAAATGACTTCCAGGACACATCAGAAGTGTTGATATCATCAGAAAAATGTGATATCCCTTTAACAATCACCCATTCAATGTTCATATCATGGGCTGCAGCAAACAGTCCTGTTAAGTGAAAAGACAGACCTTACAATGTGAAAATGATTATGCACGCCAAGATTCAAAGCCTTGTTCAACCACTGTGAACAAGAGTCAAAAGCTCAGACTGCTCAGACTTTTTCTCCCATGTTGTTTATATTCCCTCCACAACGGTATATTTTATGTTATTATAATATTCCCTTTGAACTAGGTCACCAGAATATATCTTTTTTGTAATCATGGTTTGCAATATACCACTAGTCAACCTGACAACCGGTCACACACACTACTGGCACAACATTGCCAACCATGGTCAAACATGGCTAGCAATGAAAAGCTGTGGTATTGCCATGGTCACAAGATGTTGCTTAGTTCCAGGCCGAGTGCTCATTACACAATTTCAGGCTGCGTACGTGACCAGCCTGGGCTGCCTGTGCCCAAAGCCAGTCTCTCTTGAGATTTTTGGGATGTAAATGTTAGTAAGTGCTGTAAATGACCTAATAAACGCCCGAGGCATCTAGGGGTCCAAGCGGGGGCGTTAATAGATAAGAGGTGTTTATTCTCATAACTTTAACAAGCTCAACGAAACTAATATGCTTCGGCGAAAATATCAAGAGAGTTTAAAAGTAGCGCGGAAAATCCACTCCATCAGTTGATATGTCTAGACCGTCTAGAGATCTATGTCGCTCTATCAAATCCCAACATCTATCAGAATCCTCGCTCATTGTTGTCATTGTTGTTATTTTTGGCTAATTCCTAGTATTTTGGAGTAATTCTCACAGGGGGCGTCTATTAGACAGGAGGCGTTCAAAGTGACAAGAGGCGTTTTGGAAGTAGGCGTTTATCATTTACGGTATTGTGACGTTAGGTTTTTAGGGCGTTCTTCGTCTTTAACTCTCACAACATGCGCGGCGTTGCGCCGGACAAATGGACGGATAATCGGCGGGTTAATTCGAATAACTGAAGGACGTAATGGGACTAATTAAAAGCTTAGTAGAACACTTCGTTGGGCTCCTTGGCCAACGTCACAAACAATGCCAGAGGTACAGGTTTGTTGGGGACTTGTCCGTAGAGCAAAGCAGAAATAACTTCAACAGAACTGTAACTCTTCGAATATGTGTAATCTCCTCACGTAGTTAACTCGTTGATAACTCAAGTAATTCAGCATGTTTCACTTATCTAGGCCTAAGGTAATTCAGCCCTCTTGGTGTGAGGCAATTGTGATAGGCAACTTTTATAGGTAATCAGTCACAGAGGTAACTCGCAGAGGTATTTTGCAGAGGTAATTCAATTGCAAATTGTACAGTGTACAAGCTTGCTTATATGTGGTCTGGATATGCTAATACTCTTCAGATATTATGTTCGGCAAGTCTTTTATCTAAAATTACATTTATAGCGGAATAAACAACTAACATCTTCCTAGTTAAAAACAAGCTCTTACAAAGGATGGTAAAGCAGCTGATCATGAGAACACTTCAATTGCTCTAGATTGTGCTGAACATGAACGTGAATATCCTGACTCTAAGAAATCCTTTTTCATGTAGAAAGTCATGTTTTCTCGAAGCAAATGAAGGTAATAAGATTCCCGTGAACTGAAGCGATACGTTTCTCAGAATATTTGAAGCAATTCCTGGAACTCTACAGTAAATAAATTCGAAGTTTTGCCTTATTGCATATTCAGGCTTTGTTGTATTTATTTAACTGATAATGCTGCAGTTATTAAGAACCTTTTTTGGAAATTGGGCAATTTACTTTGTATACCTATACTTTACATGTATACACAATAAAAGGGCAGGTTGAAGGCGATTAATTTTTTAACCAGTGAAAAGCGACACGATGGCAAATTCCGTTTTTCACTCACTCCCATTGCTGGCATGTAAACGTTTCACTGATATCTACGTTGCAATAACAAAATGTAACCTTCTTGATTACGGTAATCTTGATGGAATACTACTCCCCCCTTCCCCACCCTTTGCTGTTATCTTCCTTCTCACATATCTCTTTGCGCCGTCCCCACAATGTGAACGCCTGGAACAGGCTTGGGTTCCAGACCATCTGTTGTCTTGATACAAGAAAATCAATTTTTGGACGTTTAATTTGTTCTATGGGCATTTGTGTAAAGCTTTAGTTTGAAACAAAGCTAGGGTATGAAACATGTCTCTTTCTGGACAAGAACAAATGCCGTGGAGATAATTTAATGACTACTTTACTCACATCATGTCACTTTCAAATGGAAACTATTTGTAGATATAAAACAATAGAGAGATTAAGATTCACGTTTACCGCAAATGGCAAACGTCAGACTCAAGTTGAGAATTTCTCAGAATAGAAAATTAGCAGATAAAAACAGTCCCGAACGATTCCTATCATTAAAACTGGCATAAAACTACTTATTTTTGAGTAGAAGAATAAAGAGTTAACGGAAAACAAGGGGAAAACTTGGTCACGTGGTACAAATTCACTTCTGCCGTGAAACGTGAATCTTAATGTCTCTAATATCTTACCTTCCCCTTCCCATTCAACTGCAATCACACGAGATTGAGACATACTGCTTTGTTTGTTGATGAATTGACTACCACTGAATATGTCACTGTCACGGTGTACCTGTACTGTTTCTTCACCTACTGGATCTTTTAATGGTGGCTTCCAGCCTTCAGTTGAAAACAAGTTGAGGTTGCCAAGATTTCTTCTTACTGGAGTTGGGAATTGTTCAGTTGACAGTTTAGAGGATACCACTACATCTCCTAGCTTGGTATGTTTTGGGTTTAAACCCATGCATTGGCCTACGGAAAAAGCAGCCTTGGGTCTCAGTAGCATCACTGCATTTTTAATAACAAATTGACTGCCACGTGGACCAGAAGAACTTTCAGAACATCTCATCAAAGCAACTTTCAGTGCCTCTTCTTTACTTTCACCCATGGTCCCAAAGTACACGTACCCCAGGCTCATGTGATAACTTTTAAAAGGATTTGCCAAGAAAGCAAAGCAAGCTGTAAACTCGCAGTCCTCTACTGTCAACAAAAGAATGTCAACAGGAAGCTTGACATCACTCCAAGGTGTCGACTTGTTTGGAAGATCTCTCATTTTAGGTACTTCAATACTTAGCGGAGGAGGGACATGATCTCTTGACATCTGATGATCAGGAGCACCTCCTTTTCTTTTAAGGTCTTGATGCTGCGCCATTGAGTCTCAGTTAAAGTTTTTCCTAAAGTTTGTAAATACAATTAATTTAATAAGATCAGCACATTGCAAAACTTGAAAAAACTTAACATAAATTAAAGAATGTCAAAAAATATTTGTCACAGCTATTTCTATAGAGTCAAACCTCTCGTTATAAAAGTGGACACTACTATGGCCAGGAAAAGTGTCCACCTATAGGAGATCGACTGGTGTTCACATCACAAAGGTCGTCTATGGGGAGTGTTTGTTTACAAATTACAGTGTGACCACATGAACCGAGGCCACCCAGACAAAATTTTAAGACAAATTTTGAAATTAGTCAATCACAAGTTGAGATCTAAACAATGAAATTCGGAATAACTGTATTAGGTTTTGACAACCTTTGGGTTCAGGCCGGAATCAAGCCCAGCAGTGAGAAATTTTGAACAATCCGAACTAAGGGCGACGGCAGCTTATTTTACCGCAAACGGCGCTCAGCTTGATTTATACAACCGTCATGATTCCTTATTTATATCCCTTAGAAAAATGGTTCGCAACGTATTTTGAGCTTGCTCTGACGGTCGATTTCCAGTGTCACGTATTTTGTAAAATTTACGTTCGCAAATAAAATAGAGGCAATGCATGAAAGGTCGCTCGTAAGCGTAAAAGTTGAACCTCGCTCAACTTCTCGTTTAAGCTCAGCACTTTCTTATCTTTCCTTTATTTTATTTGCGTGATTAAAATTTAAGTGCGTTAACGCGCGTAGCCAAAAACTTGTCAGTGGAAATCAACCTTGAGTACAATTATGCGCAAATATTTCATTGTTTAGATCTAGAGTGATCGGCTAATTTCAAAAGTTTTTGTCTCAAAATTTTGTCTGGGTGGTCTCAGTTTGTGTGGTCGCACTGTAAACACAGTTTCAGCCATGGTCCCAAAGTACACAAATCCTAAGGTCTGGTGATAACTTTTAAAAGAATTTTCCCAGAAAGCAAAGCAAGTTCAAGTCAACAGGGTGCTGAACATGACTCTATAAGGTCTTAACTTATTTCAAAGATCTCTGGCATCGTTCGCGTTGGCAGTTCAATACTGAGACGAGGTGGAACTTCAGGACCTTTTTTCTGTTGCAGCGCCATTGAATATCAATTAAAGATTGTCCTTTACAGTGTATAGAAATAAGAACACTGTGCCTGACAGCCCCTGACTTGATACTGCACCCACGTTTCATTAAAAAAAACTACCTCTGCAAGGGTGCTTTTTTTCAGCGTCACCCAGAAACGTTTTTTTGCCACATTAATCACATATAGTCTCCCTCGCTGCCGTTTTTGTCTCGTCACGGAGACTACGTTAATTAAACGTAAGGTAGGCATGAAATTGGTCTTTTCGTCATTACAAAGTGGTCACGGATTCCATTGTCGTGTTTCAAGAACAATAACTTCAGTTTAAAAGTTTATAATTTTAGTCCGAGACTATGATAAAAGGATCGAGAGGTTTCTTTGGGATGAACTTGTTACAGTTACAGTTTAGAAATTAAACAAAGTTTCCTTGTGATACGGATACTATGGCATAAGGGTCCCCGATAATTTTATTCGGGACTTGAAATTTGCCCAAGTATACACAGGATAAAGGATGCCTAAAATAAATGATCGAGATTACGCCGGGATTGAGCGAATATTTGAAGAGGGGTGACGGGACCCTATGACATGTCCCCTGGTTCCACTGCAAACAAGAAACAACAGAGTTTTTTTCAAGTATTTCTGACCCGCACAAAAAGAAATGACCAAAGTGTGATTTCAAAATTACCTCCATGAAACTAAATTTGCAGACACGCGCCACCTCATTATTACGGACAGTTTGTTTTATCCCAGGGGAAAGAAAGCCCTTACATTTTCTCTAAATACGGACACTTTTATGGCTCCGAGGGGGCCCTCAGGGTCCGTAGTAATTATGGGCGGAGTCCGATGAGGCATTTATTCCAGGACGGCGATATTTCAAGGCGGCGCTTATTTCAAAATCACATTTCTGACAATTTGAAACGGCTTACCCTTAATCAGTTAATTGCCAATAACACAGAATAACCAAATAGCGTTTGTAAAAAAGCCCTTTTAAAACACAGGCAAAGACTGAGAGATAATAGCAGTTGACGGAAGACTTGATCAACTCCAGATACTTTTCAAATCAAATTGTAAATATTATGTAAGACAGAAAGATGTTTTAAGTAGCAATGTATCCCTTATTTTGCTGAGATGGAATCGTATCAGTGGCTGGATGGTGTAAACTAATATCAAGTTTTTTCTGATATGTTGCGGCGTTTATTCCAGGGGGGCGTTTAATCGAGTATTAAAAATACGGTACGTGATATCTCATGGAACACTAAGTGGCTGCAAATCCAAAAATACTTGGTATTTGCCCTAAACCATATACCACCAAATACGCAGGATTGGGACTAAGATAGCCGTTGTTAATATCTGTAAAAACTTTACTGTATAAAACATCTGAAATAAAACAGAATAAAAGGAAAACCAACACTCGGAACATAAACCCCTACAGTACACAGTCACAATGGACTAATAAACAAAATAAAAAAATACAAAGGGCTGTCATAAAACAAACACTAAAATAATTGTGGGCGGCTGGAAGCTAATGATTGCTAAGCCTAAGCAGGAGCCGATTACTCCTGGCCTATGCTTTGCCTTTTAAGTACTCATTATTAGAATAAAGCGTAAAAAGCTAACTAACTGTGACTTTTGTTGGAGAATATTGTTCCTGAAAGCGAACAATTCTTGAAACTCGCCTTGAATACCCCTCGTAATAGACCAAGTGGAGTCTATAACTTTACTGGGTCCTCAAAGAAAACGTCACTGGGTTGTTTTTTTTTCTTCTGGGTTTTTCTTATTAGTTGTGTACCCTCCCATAAAAGCAGAAAGGCCGGTGGCAGGCCTTACATCTTTTAACCGGCATGAAAACTTTGAACACATTTTACATTCTTTGCGAGATTGATTACCTGTACCCTCTGTATTGTGTTTTTGTCAATGGTAATAATGTTTTATTTTTTTGCTTCTTTTAAACATACAAATATGAACAACGAAATACACTGGTCTTGAAGAAGCCATGATAGAAAGTGACCAGGGAAGCAAAAAATCAGCCGGGTAGAAACAAACTATTCGCCGGGTATCGAGGAGGCTAAATTATAACTGGGTAAGCTGAATTAAAAACTGAGTAGGGTTTCACTGGGTCTGTTACAAAGGGGTATCATTTAGAAACCCTTGAGTTTCCCTACCAATCTTTATATACTGCTACAAGCGGTAGAACTTTTACTCTCAAGCTGTACATTAGGTAATAGATCAATGATTGCGGTCACGAATGGCACAATGCGCAGAACAAATAAAACTGTCAACATGGTATTCAGTGTACTTAGTGTACTTATGCAGTGTAGTCAATGTAGTTAGTGTACCCAGGGTACTACTGAACCCCAGCTACGCTAGCTACAAACGTAACCTACACACAAACTTGTTCTTGAACTATGTATATTCGTGACGGTAGTCAAGGACTTATTACCATTTTACTAAAAACATTATAATTATTTTGTAAAAACATATCACTGACCCTTGAGGTAATGCTAGCTGCGAAATCTAACACTGGTTCTAAAAATATAAATGAGCCCTTGGTTCAACCCTAAGATGATGCTTTCCAAAAATCGAAGAAACTCTAACAAAAAGAAGCGGGTGAAGATTTATATTACACCTGCTTGGCGTCATTCGATACTTGCCGTGACATACCGTATCTGAAAGGTACATGTAACGGCCGCAACTGCAATGTTTCCTAATTCACTAAGAGATCATGCAAATCTGTTTTACTAAGCAAGCAACTTCCCTTTACACTAGTTTTACCGTTATAACCTTCATTTTATATTGTTGCATTTCATTTTGAAGTAGGCAATAACATGGCTGACATCTTATATTAGTTCACAGTTGAAAGCCGATATGATATTGATCAACAGTTTGAAATACGTTATCTGCTCAGATCTGCAAAGCAATATTTTACCTTTCATTGTAAGGGTTCCCTTTCAGTCTAGAAAACTGTCTCTATTAGGGACGGCTGGTGTGTTTGATAAATCGTACGAAGAGCAGTGATCGCAAGAGTTTTTCATGAAGAGCTCTATTAATTGCATAATCGGAAGTCACGCGAATTTTATAATTAACCGACGAGTTCTTTCTTGTTTCATTTACGTTGTTTCTTAAAAATTATTAATGTACAGTGCATTTTGCTGCAAATAATACCTTATTTATTCTCTGTTATCATCACAAACCGAAACCAGACTTAAAAACTGTCCACACAGTTAAATTGCTTAAATAGGTTCCCTCAGTCAATGCAAAGAGCTTGTTGCGTGTTTCTCTTTCACTTTCAAGACTTCGAACTGTTTAAGCAACATGTCACATATTAATTGTAAAAGCCCCTGGCGTCCAGGTACCTTCACACGGCAAACGGTTAAACATTCCGTTTGAGCATTTCATTAGCCTTGATAACGGCATTGTTTTAAAAAATCATAGCTCACAATGTGAGCGTTGGAGCCGAGATCGGACTTCTACTCAAGCCTGCACAAGGAATGGAATCGCGATATAACACCCCTCCACCTTCATCAAATCTCGACTTTATAAAAGCCTCTCAAGATATGATTCATGCCTTTTGAAATCTACGAGTTAGGAATACAAAGAGCAAACCTTTTTTGAAGGGGACTTGGATGTTTCCATCGGAGCAAACGATTTCATCGGTTTGGCGTCAGTAGGCGCTGTGTCGCAAAGTCACGGGTGCGGCTATTGAATTGAATGACGTCAACGTCTGGGAATGAAACAAATGATCATTGTTTAAAACTAATCACCTGACCTGCATTCGGTTCACTCTTTTTTCCTGAAAATTTAAAATGAAAAATGAAACAGCATTTTCGTTTTTCATTTTTGGGTGGGGGAAGTAAGATTGAATTTAATATTCATTGTTTTGCAAAATTAAAAAAGTGAGAAATGAAAAAT